TTATATTTTTGATATTTATTTTATATATTTAAATGCCATTTAACATAGAAAAATTAACCAAAAAAATGAGTTTACATGTCACCTCTGACATGCGTGTCATAGGTTTGCCATCACTGATCTAGGGAGTGTCATAAGGTCAAGCCTAATTATGCTAAGTGGGCTATGCCCTCTAAGCTGGGACTTGTTTGTGGCTTTGCCAATAAGTCAGTCCGAGGCTTAATCCTATAGCCGCTCCCTACAGGCTATACCTCCTCATAATGCTCATTGTTAACTTACAGTTCTTAGAATCAATCTATCAATCTACAGAAGGACATCATACTAACACTTAAAAAACACAATTTAAATTACATAAAACTTTAAAAATATATGTTATATATTGTAAGTTTGTATAGGAATTATATATAATTTAAAATAATATAAAAATCAGCAGGGGGAGAGAGAGAATGAACTTAGCTAAATTCCTCATATTTCATAGCAAGTATCGTGGTTGATTTTATGGGTATACATCAGCTGTCACTAGAGATTATATAAAAACATAAAATTTATATGGCAACTCAGAAAAAAATCTAAAAACAGAAAAGTTAAATTGCTACATCAAAAAATAGCAGTAGGGTCCACTCTAACCAGTTTGGCTCAGTGGATAGAGCGTCGGCCTATGGACTGAAAGGACCCAGGTTCGATTCTGGTCAAGGGCATCTACCTTGGCTGTGGGCACATCCCCAGCTGCCTCCTAGCTGATCGATGTTTCTCTCTCATCGATGTTTCTAACTCTCTATCTCTCTCCCTTCCTCTCTATAAAAAAAATCAATAAAAAATATTTTTTTAAAAAAAGAGAGAAAAGAAATAGCAGCATTGCTGGGTCATTGTGACTGAGTTGGTTGGGCAACTTCCTGCACACTGAAAGATCGCCAGTTCAATTCCCAGTCAGGGCACATGCCTCAGTTGTGGGCGACCCCCAGTAGGGGGCATGCAGGAGGCAGCCAATCAATGTTTCACTCTCACATCGATGTTTCTCTCTTTCTCTCCCTTCCTCTTTCTAAAAAATCAATTTTAAAAATTTAAAAACAACAATAAAGAAATAGCAGTATAAACAAATTATTCAAAACTTTGGGAGGAATATCAGAAAAGCTAAAAATAGAAAAGGAGGGGGACCGAGATGACCTCTGTTTTTACCATTTTAATTTTTATTAAAAGTATCAGATCTTATTTCATTATAAAAAAATAATTACATACTACTATTAAAAATGATAGTACTGTAACGAAAGGCAAAAAACTGAAGAGGGAGACTTTCAGTTCTGGCATGAAAATACAAAAGGACAGTAAGTGCCACCAGACCATGTATCCCCACGGGGTACAAAAAGAGGCACAAGATAACATATCGCATATTACAGAACACTCATCTTTGCCGAGTCTGTTTCCACACCATTATGGTCTAAATGGCCTATCTGTCATATAAACTCCTAAAGAGACCTTCATTTCAGTGGCTTT